GTATAAAGGCCAATAGACAGGCTCAAGCAAGGAGGGCAGTGAAAAGCTGCCAGGAGAGAAAGGGTAACTGATTATGTCAGGTTCTGGAGCAAGCGGCAGAAAAATGGAACCCAGAGCACAAACGGAGAGACTGGCCTGAGGGAAGAAAAGGACCCCCCTCCTCCCCTGTAACACAAAGGAGGGAAATCAGTTTGCAGGCTTGGGGGCTACAAGTTGTGGGGAGTTCCATTCTTATAGTTTCTACTTGTTTTTTTGAAGCAGGAAGTCTGAAGGTAAAGAACATTTGAAAGAGTCACCTCAGGGACGAGACAAGAGTGGATCAGAATAAAACAGTAGGACTGCCAGGCAGGGTGGAAAATGACCCTGGATTTGTGGCAATGCTCATCTCCTCTGCTCTATGACATTCTCTAACAGGGCTTGCCTGCTTGGTTGGTCAGTTGCTATAAAAAGACCCAGGCCTGAGGTGGTTGGGATGGACAGGCTTCCAGGAGGAAGCACTCTTAGAACTGAAGGATCAGAATGAGACTGCAGTGGGAACCGGACCAACATTCCTGATGAAGGAAACAGCATGGACAAAGGCCCTGAGGCAGGAAGGGGGAAAGCACCTTGGAAAGACCACAGTGACAGAAGCTCAGAAGGCAGAGGATGGCATGAAGTGAGACTAGATGCCCTGGAGGCCAGACTGGGGGAGAGGTCATGGGGTGCTCAAAAGCCACGCTGCAACTTTCTTGGTCTTTATTTTTAAAAGGAATAGGATACCTCCCAAGGGTGTTAAGCCAAGGCAGACCTGGAGGGCTCTCCTCCCCACACCAGCCCTGAGATTTTGGACTCTGGGAGCCTCAGTTTGCTCATCCAGAAAAGAGTGATCGAAACCATCTATCTCACAGGGAATGTTGAAAGGATTAGATGAGACTGTACACGCAAATACTCCGCAGGGTCTCTGCCAGGTCTTGTACAACAAACCCTCCATCCCTGCCCCTCCCACCCGGTTCCACCACCGGCCCTTTGACATCTTAGCGCCAGTCTGCAGCTTTGGCCCTGTTTGAACCTAGCACTGTGCCCAGCACATGGTAGGCCCTCAATAAATGCTTGTTGATGGATCAGCTCTAAGCCTAAGGGTTATCAAAAGCCTGGGCCAGCAGCTCGAGGAATGCAGCCATTTCAGTTTCTGAGCTGTATCCCGAGGGCTAGCACAGACTTCTCCCGTGTCCCCACGTGACGTGGCTGTGCTGGTGCACAGTGGACCTGCAGGCAACACTTCCTGAATGGGAAGCCCTCTACAACAGGGCTCCCGCAGGCTGAGGCTATCCCCTAAGATCCTCTACCACCTCCCAGAAGGGCTGGGTCGCAGGCAGCGGCTGTTCTCCAACAGCACTCCAAGTCACCGGCAGCACGCAGGTTTTAAAACAATAATAAGTTGAAATGTACTCGCCAAGAAAGCCACCGACCTACAAAGAAAATCTTATCGCTGATCTTGCAATGAGCACCGACCTCCCCTTTGCAAGAGCTGAGATCAAGATAAAGAAGCTATCGAAAAGCCATCTGCCCACTTAAAATAATATCATAAGTCATGTTAGGAACCACAGACCTGGGGCCAGATACCAAAACAATTGTCTGAACGGGCTGCTTCAATTTCTCCTTAAAACCACCCATGTATGTTAAAAGAAAAACACCCTCCCACCCACCTTGGCCCTGCAAGCTTTTGATTTCTCTGTTCCCTTCCTTTCACACTCTAAAATGACCAAACTCTGTTACCCAAACTGACACGTCTTACAGACAAGGCTCCCACGACAGCCAGCTGGAATGACGACTCGGGAAAAGTGACAGAAATTAAGGCGAGGGGCACTGGAATGGCTGGATATCTTGATCTGGGTGATGGTTTCACAAGGGCATACATATGTAAAAATCTATTGAGCTTCACACTTAAGATCAATAAAGGAAAAAAAAAAAGCTAGAAGGAAAGCAAGACATGCTAGGAACATGGGAACACCTGGAGCGAAATGCAGAATTTGCCCTGAATCCTATCAGGCCTTCAAGAAGAACAGTAGTTTTTAAAAAACGTCCCTACCGTCTTGTCCCTGGTCCTATCACTCACTAGCTGAGTGTACTTGAACAAGCTGGCTCACTTCTCTGAGCTACCTCAGTTTCCCCCTCTATTAAATGGGCATAACCATAGCACCTACACCACACAGCATGCACAGTGGGACTCAGCAGAGAACAAACTTGAAGCTCTCAACACAGAGATCAGTAAATGTTGGCCACTGTTAATCTTTCAAAGCTAACACCATGCTTCAGTTACCTTGCCCATGCTTGCTGCGTCCAATCCAAGCACACAAATTGACTGTCATTCCCCTTTAGCAGATGAGAAAACGGAGGCTCACAGATGAAGAAACTGAGGCAAAGCTACACAGCTGGTGATGGACAGAGCAGAGTTTGGGAGGGGAATCCAAGGAACTATCTGTGATTCCCTAAGCATTAATACTGATACCTATACGGCACTACTAAGAGCCAGGCTTGGTTCTGAGTGCTCTTACTCATCTCCTGTGAAGTAGCTGCAATAATTCTCTCTGCTTTACAGATGAGGGTACTGAGGCACAGTGCGGTTAAATGAGTTGGCCAAGATCATAAGGCTAACAGATGACAGGACTGGGATTTGAACCCAGGCACTGATGTCAGAATCCACACTCTTACGCCTGTAAGGAAAGCCATGCTGCCTACCCTGCTCAGATAGTCTCAGGTTACTGTTACCAACACAGGTTGGTAAGTAGGTACTTGTCTGCTTGCTCACTTACCCAGGCACATCTGCCCACAAGCCCCAGGCTAGACCCTTCTGAACCACTCACAGCCTAAGGCCCTTCCAGGATCACAAACATCTTGCTGCAGCCAGAGGCTTCTGATCAAGCATATACAAGGTCCAAACAGCATTTTCCCATTCCCATTTCCAGTCCTCCCAGGAGCAGGGAAATGTATGCATTTCCCACATGTGCTTGAAGAATCTACTTATGCCAGGTTAGACTTAGGTGATTCCCCCAAAAATCAGGCCTAGCTGCTACTCTTGAAGAACTCATGGCTTGACAGGGAAAACCCAGGAGGATCTTGTATCAGGGGCTTCTGGGGTTAAGTGGTTCCTTCTCCCAAGCCCTGAATGGTCACAGGTGGTACAGCAAAAACAAAGGTAAAGAGCTTCCAGTCCAGGCCCATCTGGTTCTGCCTCTGCCAGAGCCACTGCTTCTTGTGAGAGCAGGGACTCAGCCCCTCAACTCCACAGGAGATATCAGACTAAATTAGAGCAAAACTGTAAAGAGAGTCCACAGGCTTCAAGGTCAGACATGGCCAAACTGGAAAAGCCAGGAGCCATCACTTCCTCAACCAGTTTCTTCCTCTAGAACTCTGGCTTCCTGCTCCATCAAATGAGGATCAGATTCCCTGCCTCCCACTGGTAAGGACCTTGGTCCACAATACCATATCACTGCAGTTCTCTCCGCTCCAGCACACTACCCTTCGTTCACACCAGATTCAGTCCCACCTCAGGACCTTTGCACTTGCTGTTCTCTCTCCCTAGAACACCTCTGCTCCCATTATATGTGCAAAACTATTCCTCTTTATCATTCAAGGTTCAGTTTAAACAGTACCTCCTCAGAAAGTCCTCCTTGTTCCCTTTTCTACAAACTCTCTCCCTCCCCATATCTGTGCATAACTCTTATCAGCATCCAGGACTCACTTTCTCAAAGGCCTTCCCCAAACACCCTACCTAAAGCATCTATTCCCTCCCAAACTGTCCCCTTACTCTATTTTACTTTCCTCTCAGCAGCTAAACTTATTCGTCTGTATCTTATCCACCTGCTGGTTGTTTCAAACTGTCTCTCATAAAAGCCTGTATGCTCCCTGAGGGCAGGTAAGATGTCTGTCTTGTTCAGGGCTTTACAGTGCAATTCAATAAATGAATGAAACCCCAGTAATTAAAACACAGCCTAGCACATGTTTGGTCTCCATTACTCTTTGACCGACTGACTGAATGCGCCCTCCTCCCTGTCCCGGAGAGCAGGCCTCAGGGGCTCCTGGGTCGGAATGCTTGTCCTCCATCCTAAACACAGCACTGCGTTGGCGGAGGTGGCGCTGGCAGACATTACCTGCGCCTCACCGGCTTCATGCAGCTCTTCAGCTGCCTGGCCTCAGCCTCCACGGGACCCTGGCACTCGGGCTGTGGCTCCAGCTGCTGCAGCTGCTGCTGCTGGGGCAGCCCTTCGGCATCAGTGGGTGTGGGAGCGGGTGCAATCCGGAGCAGGACTGTGTAGTTGCGGCCGTGGTTGTTGGCCCAGAAAGTGCCCTCGGGGGTCTCATAGCGCACCACGAAGTCCAGGCGCGCCCCATCGCCCGCACCCTCAGCAAAGGGCAGCTGGAAGGCAAAGCGGTCGGTGCGGCCGCCGTCGTCGGGCGAGGAGGCGGGCGCCTGGCCGGGGCCCAAGCCAAGACCCAGATCCAGGATGGGATCTCCTGCTCCTGGTCCTCCCGCTCCTGCCCCCGGCGGGCTGCGCGGGACGTAGCGCGCTGGGTGGTCGCAGAAAGAAGCCCAGCCGTCGTGTGAGGCCCGCACGTGCACCGCCTTCTCAAAGGAGCGGTTCAGCACGCGGACCAACCCGCGCAGCACCGGCGGGCGCCCCCCAGGCACCCACACCCCGGCACCCCCGGGGACCGCTCCGGGAGGCGGCAGCAGTGCCTCCAGCTCCACCATGACGCGCCCCAAGCGCTCCAGACGGCCCGGCGCGGGCGGCAGCGAAAATGTGGGCACCAGGTAAAACCCCCCGCCAGCGGGAACGGGGCACAGCGGCGAGGGCTCGGGGCAAGCCTCCTCTTCCTCCTCCCCTTCATCCCCATCCTCGCCATCGTCGTCCTCGTCAGCCCCGCCGCCGACGCCATCTTGCCCGGCCGCCACCGCCATCTTGCCCGCCCCGGGCCCGCCCCACGGCCGGTAGCGGCGCAGCTGCGCCAGCGGCAGCCCCAGGGCCTCGTCGGCGAACAGCACCCTCCGCGGGGCCACCGCTGCCTCGACTGAGGTACGGGGCTCGCCCGCGGCCGGCGAGGGGGGCGCGGGATGCCGCAGCGGGGGCTCCACAGGGGCCGTGCGCGCCATATCGGCGGCGGCGGCGGCGGCGGCACCGACGGCACCGGCAGCGGGACCGGCGGGGGCAGGGCCTGAAGGGGCGGGCAGCCAATGGGAAGGCCAGCGCCGGGGGGAGGGGGATACGACTCACGGCGGGGGGGGTTCGTAGGCGGCGAGACGACAGGTATAGCGGAGAGCCAATGGGGAGCCGCGCACGCGTGACGTAGACGGTGAAGCGAGTGCAGGGGAAGCACGCAGCCAATGGGGATACCCGAGAGTGGGCGGTGTAGGAGGCGGGATGATCGGGGATCAATGGGGACGCGTGAATGGGGGGGTGCGGGGTCCGGGATGAAGAGAGCAGAAGTAGGACAGCTAATGGGGAAATGTGAGCGGGAGCGGCGTGGGAACGGCAGGGAAAATGGAATGGCTACAGGCGATGGGGGCAGCAGGGAGCAAACGGAGAGGCCGGAACAGTAGGAGATCCATGGGTTGCGTAGGTAGTGGGATGGAAGGTAGAGACAGCGAACAGCCAATGGGGAGCCGTGCAGCGGTGACGTAGAGGAGGGATGACGATAATGGCTGCAGCGAGCCAATGGGGAGTCTTGTGAGTGTGCACCACGCCTTCAAGGGGCGGTGCCAGGGCGGAACTAGCCAATACGGAGACTAAAAGGTGACCAAGAGGCGGTATGTGAGCGGCCTCGGAGGCGGGACTGGAGGGGAATAGCCAATGGGGTGGGTGATGAAGGCGAGAGCGAGGAAGAGAGGTAGCAGATAGCCAATGGGGGAGTCAGAGTGAATGCAGTTGAGAACTCAAGGGGCAGTGCAAGAACGGGATGAACCAATGCTGAAGCTAGAAAGTGTATCGTGACAGAAAGACCCGGAGGTGGGACGGGAAAGAGCAGAGCCAACGGGGATGTTGTAGCTGGTGTGAAGGAGGGGATGAACAGCCAATAAGGAGGCTAGAGGAGAGGAAGGTTCGTAGGCCGTCTGAGCTGTAGAGTGGTCGGGCCTCTGAACCGTAGAGTGCAGGCAGCCCTTAGAAAGAGTATGCCTCTCATGGATGGATTTACCTTCTTCTTAACCCTCCGTGACTCCCTACTGCCCCAGGGCTATGAATGCCCAGAGCCCCTGAAGACCTAGACTGCATCCTAGTGTGAGATCTGAGAAAGCAAAACGGACTCTCCTGTCGCAGTTAGTGGGTCTGCCCAACCCAGCTCCGAGCCTTTGCTTGAGCGGTGCCACCAGCCGAGAATGCCCCTGATTATCACCCTCAGTGTTCTCCAGGACTTGGCACCATTGTTGAATGAATGGCCAAATGAAAGATTGAGTTTTCGGGGAAGATTAGCTTTTTCTAACTCCAGCTCAGAAAACACTGAGCGTGACTATGCAGCCAGGAGTTGGTCGGGCATGTTGGCAGATATTGACTAACGTAATCACAAATCAAAGCCCTGTCTTTCTTGCGGGACTGAAGCTCCACACCCCACAGTGGCCTCACCTCCCTTCTTTCTGTCTCCGGTCTCTGCTCCTACTGTTCCCTCTCCCAGGAGTGCTGCTCCTTCTTCCTCATCTAGTGGACTCCTTTCATTCCCCTTTCACTCTTCCTTTGAGATCCCGCCTTCCGTGGGAACAGAATTGTAGCTTGTGTCCACTGAACATGGCCATTCATACATTCCCCCTTCATCCTGGGAGGATTTTCTGAACACCTACTGTATGCAAGGTTCAGACTCACAGCATCCCTAGGAGGGAGGCAGTTCCACCGGCGGGCTCCCCTCCTCAGGTCTCAGTGTCCAGGATGGGGTTATGGGCCAGGAACCAATCAGTATGTTTAGTTGCAAATAACAGGGAAAACCCCACAAAATAATATGGGCTTAAACAAGATAGAACTTTTTTTTCCTCACCTAAAAGTTCAAGCTGTTAAGTAGTCCAGGGACTCCTTCCTGCCCACAGAGTTAGGGTGTTGTCTGTGTCCTGGTGTGGCCCCAAGACTCTCATCCTTCAACAAATCCTGTCAGCTCTGCATTCGATATATTTCCCGAATATACCCTCTCCCCACCCGCTCCACTGCCAGCGCCATCATCAGTCGCTGATGATGTAGCGACTGCAGTAGCCTCCCTCTCACTGATCCCTCTGCTTCCATCCTCACTCCTAAAGTCCATTCTACACTCAGCAATCAGAGGGATCCTGTTAAGTCCTAAGACAGTTCACATCTCTCCTCTACTCACAACCCTCCCATGGCCTCCTACTCACTCAGAGTAAAAGCCAAAGTCCTTACCATGGGCTACAAGGTCCTGCATGGATTAACGGCCCCCCTAGTCCCCTCTCTTACCTCACCTCCTACTCCTCTTCCTCTCACTCACACCATTCTAACCACACTCTTACCTCCTTAGTAGACCTTGAGCAAATCGGACACACTCCCACCTCAGGACCTTTGCGCTGGCTGTTTCCTCTGGAATTACTCAGATATCTACATGGCTCCCTCCCTCACCTCCTTCAAGTCTTCGTCAAAGGCCCACTTCTCTGGGGACTTTCACCAACCTCTCTAGTTAATCCTGTCAACTCTCCCCCAGAAGCCTCCCATGTGAGAGGATATAGTCCAGTGCAGAGAGGAGATGGGGACCTCTGTCCCTCTCTGCCCACCTGACCCCTCAGCCCTCATTCTGCAAGGGTCCTGGCTCTCAGCAGCAGCAGCATCACCCGTCACTCAGCTTTCCTCCTTTTCTGGCACTCCTCTCATGGAGCAAGTGGCAGTAAGGGAGAGATGGTTTGGGGAGGATGTAGCCCACACCTCGGACCCTGAAAGAGAAAACCAGCCCCCTCTCTCAAGAGGGAACAGGTCCTGAGGCAGGGAATGGGGCCTCGGCTTCTAGAACTGACCTGGTTTATAGTTACATGGGACATGTAGGGAATGTTCAGAACCAAGTCGACAGGGAGCAAGGGGTCATTAATTAACCTTAGGGACATCCCTAAAGTTGGACTCCCTCCTGATGAGCACACGCCTCACCCCCTCTCTTGCTTCCAACCACATGCCATATCTTTTAAGCCCCTGCGGTATGCAGGGTCCCTGCAGGCCTTCAACCTGAGACCTCACCCCACTTGGTGCCTCCCCTGCCTGCCCGGCACACACAAGGCCATCTTTGGGTCTCAGACATGTCCCACCAACTCAGAAGCCTCAACCAGTGAAAGTTTTGTTTTGAACTAATGGTAGGGAGGGTTGGGTTCTTTTTTTTTTTTTATTGCTGTTGGCTGATTTTTTTTAGGTTTTTTTTTTTTTCTATTCACCTATTTTTTTTTCTCTTGTCTTCACAAAGCCAGGCCACCAGCCCCCCTCTGGGCTTTTCCAGAAAGGTGAGTCTGAGTTGAGGAAAGAGGCTCTCCTTCTTTTGAGGATTTGGGAGATGGTGGGAGGAAAAGAAGCAAAGGGGTAAAGGGGTGGGTCTTGGCCAGTAGGTTTATACCATGTGAATAAAAATCTGTTTCCAATTTCTCTTTCCCAGGCCTGAAGCCAGTCTTGCAGACGGGTTGGAGTGGACATTGGATGACAGAACTCTGGGTTATGCAGGGCACTGGAGAGCCAAGGGCAGGGAGTCTCAGCCACGGCCTGTCAGGAGAAGCCCCTGGGGGCTGGTCTCCCCTGTTGACCATTGGTTGGAGGGGGTGCCTGTGGAGGTGAGGAAATGCAGCGGCCAAGTCTTGGACAACCTGAAACCTTCAAGCCCCCAGAAGAATCTCCAAATCTCAGAACCTCCCTATCATTGCAGCCTAGAATTTAAAACCTGAGACCGTTGTGCTCAAGGAAACCTGGCGGTTTCAAAGGCCAGCACCAATGGAACGCAGGGCCCCTATCCTCCGGCTCTGTGATATCGGGCAAGTTGCCCGACTACTTCGTGCCTCCGTTTTCCCCATCTGTATAACGGCCATGATGACAAGATGGAAATCCAAGGGCTGTGGTGAGGATTGAACACGATAATTGTGAAAAGTGTTCGGCGCTGCGTCTGGCACATGGAAAATCTGAGATAATTGTCGGCTACGGGGATGATGGTGGATATTTAGAATCCTAAATCCTTGGAAACTGGGACTTTTCGAAGTAGAAAACCGCAAAGGCTGAGGGCCTCAGAAGCATCAGGCCATGGTGTCCCTGACCATGAGAAGGCTGGGGTCCCAACGAGCCTCTCTAGGCTTTGTGAGGATGGATTCATTAATACTGGGGCCTGGTTGGGACCTTCCCCTCTGGGTCAGAGCTCTCAGGCCCTAAGATGTAATGAGGCAAGACTTTTCTCCCTTTCCTCACTCAGTGATGTTCAGTGGATTCTGGGAGCCAATGATTCTCAGACTCTTGGATTCTGTGAATTGTCGGGGGTAGGGAGGGACTCCCTGCTTTTTTCTCCATGAAGTAACTTCCATGCCTCTTACCCTCTGTGAGAAGATGGGTTGCAAGAGTATCCGGAGCTCCCCACCCCTGGGCAGTAAGACTGTGATGACCGTATCAATTCCACTTAAGGGGAAACTGAGGCCTGGACCAGAGCAAGGCCTCTGGAAACGCAGCCCTATTCCATTTCTTTCCCTGGTGTTTCCCGTCCACATGTAGCATCTCAGTTCCTTTCTTCCTTTCCCCAGAGACCCTCAAATATCCCCTCACTCACAGAGTGGCATCTCTCCCTGCCTGGGATGTCCCTGTGATTTGAGTTCTTTTCCCTTTTTTCTAACTCTACACACTTTTGTTTTAAAAACTGTAGTTTCTCATGAGCCCTGTTATCTCATTGATACCTCTCACCTCTGTAGTGAGGGGAAGAAATCATATTTTCAGATGACTCGTAAAGGGCAAAGAAAAAACCCAAAATTTCAAAATTTCCGTTTAAGTCTCATAATCAAGAAGAGGAGAAACAGAGCGAGCGAGTGAGAGAGAGAGCGAGAGAGAAAAAACTATGAGAACCCCCCCCACCCCGTGATTATCAGCGTACACACTCATCGAAAAAAAAAATTGGATTATTAGAAGAGAGAGGTCTGTGGCTTCCACACCGTGGTTTTTCTTCTCGGTATAAAAGCAAAGTTGTTTTTGATATGTGACAGTTTCCCACAAGCCAGGCTGATCCTTTTCTGTCAGTCCACTTCACCAAGGTGAGTGTCCCCGCTCTCCCCCACCAGATGCGGGTCCAGCGGAAGAGACGACAGTGAGGTAGGCACTGGGTTGGAGGGTAGTCAGGGGCCCTCGGGGACCAGCAAGACACACGCAGCAGCTCCTGTGGTCCTGGTCAGGTAAGGTATTTTTTACAGTAATAATACTAATAACAAACGCCAGAAGACTGATAGATCAAGTACTTAATCAGTGCTGAGGCAGAGGCAAAGATAAATAAATGGATCGATGTGTGGACGGGTAGGATTTTTTAAATATATCAGCTGCCAGTCTTTATGAATCTCAGAGCTTTGAACAACTTGAAACACTGTCCAGGTGTAACTGGAAATTTCAGCGACGTCTCTGACATACCTTTGGCTCTTCTCTCTCGATATCTCCCGTCCCTCTCTGTCTCACTCTTTTCGTGATTCTCTGCCCCTCTCTTTCTGTTTCCCTGGCATGCAGACTCTCCACCCCTCTGTCTTTCTCTGGCTCTGACCATCTCCCCTGTCGCTGTCTCCTCCAACTTGACCACACTCCATTTATCTCCTTTCCTCCGTCTCTCCCACCACCTTTCCTGCTCATTCGTCTTCCCTTCCCCCTGCCTGCCTCTCCCCCTCTACCCCCAGCCTCCAGCACAGAGCTTTGTACAGTTGGCGCTTAATAACAGTGTGTTGAGTAATGTCGAGGAGGACATTTACATTTTACAAGAATGAGCATCAATTCTGTTTGCCCCGATCGAAAGAGGATTGTGGGCTGTCGGGTTGGGCTGAGCACTTAACTTGAACTTGCGCTTGCACCGCATGAGGAGACCCTCCAGGGGGGCACTTCACGCAATTGTCAACCATGGTTTAGCTGTGGGGTTCTACCCTCAGGACCTGGTGTTGTGGGGGGAGGGCCAGGATCCATGTCCAGGAACAGAGCAGGCCATTCAGGTCTGGGGTGACCTCGTCTCTGCAGGCTTAGCAAGTGCTCACTGCGTGTTAACTGTTAGTATTTTTTAACCAAATTAGAATCATGCTATCTAGCTATCTATTGCTTTTGTTTCTGCTTTATTCAATGAATAGGAGCATTTTTGTAGGTCACTGAAAAATGTTTCAACGTATGATCTTTCATAACTGTTCAGACTGTCCTCACACTGGTATGAACCACGACTGTTCGACCAAGTGCTGATTTTTGGACATTCGGGTTGTTTCTAGTTTTTTCGCATAATCATCCCGGATTAGTTCCTCGGATTCCTACAAATCGAGTGGCTAGGGCAAAGCGTTTGTGCATTTTTAAGGTTTCTGACCCTCTCTGCAAATTGTTCTTCCAAAAGGTTGTCCTGTTTTATGTTCCCTCTACTCAAGCTAACCGTGGGTGGGTATTATCATTTTTTAATCCTTTCTCAACATAACAGGTAAGAAAAATATTACCATGTTGTTGAAATTTGCATCTTTCGATAACTTATACTGTTTGTTGACCATATGTGCTTTTTTTTTTTTTTCCAGTTGTCTGGTCAAGTCCTTAGTCCTAATAGGGTGTTCATCATTTTTATTTATTGATTTGTCACAGCTCTTTATATAAAAGGATATTAGCCTTCCATCAGCCGTACATATATAGCAAATATTTTCTCTCAATTCATCATTTACTGAAGTTGTTTTGCTATTTGTTCATGCTGTTTTGTGATGCTTATGATGTTTTTATATTGTCAACAAGGTTAGTCTTTTCTTCTGTGGTTACTGTCTCTGGTTTTGTGCTTAGAAAGTCCTTTCCCACTTGCAAATGAGATAAATGTTCACCTGTATTGGCTTTTATTCTCTTTTATGGCTTCATTTTTTCCACTTACTGTAGAGGTTAAGAGTGTGGGTACTAGAGCAGACTGTCTGGGACAAACCCAGCCTCAGCTCAAGCAATTCGTGTGATTTTTAGCCAGGCATTTAACTTCTCGATACCTCCATTTCCTCATAGGTACTGTGATGGTTATAATAGTACTGACCTCAAAGGGTGGTTGTAAGGATTAAATCTCTCAACCTTGTTAGATGCTTAGCCTAGGGCCTGGCATACAATAAACCCAAGATCCATATAAGATTATTATTTATCTCTTTAATGGATCTGGAATTTATTTTAGGGTACATGATGAGGGTGACATTTCAAACTGGGCAGGAAGGGGTTGGTGGAAAAATGGACTGGTTAGTCATTAGCTTTATTTTCCCCTTAATTATCCCAGAACCATTTGTTAAACAATCTATTCTCCAGCGTCCCCTGGTTTGAAATGCCGTGTTCATCACAAACTCCATTCCCTCTAGACATTGGTCTGTATTTGAGCTTTTCCATTCTGTTCTGTTCCTCGGTGTCTGTTCTGGTGCCAGGGCCACAGCGCTTTGCTGATTGTTGCTCTGCAATACAATATAGCACCCGGCCGAAGGCCCTGGCATCTTGCCCTTTGTTATTCCTCATTATTTTGGAATAACGAAGGATCAGCTCCTCCAGCCAGAGACCAACAACTGTTCATATTTGGAGCATCTCTCTCTCTCTCTCTCTCTCTCTCTCTATCTCCCTCTCTCTCTCTCTCTCTCTGTCTCTTTGTCTCTCCCCATCTCCCTGTGTTGTTTCTGTCTCTCTTGTTCTCTCTTTGACTTTCTGCTCCTATGGGTTCCTTCCCCCTCCTCACTGTCTCTCCTTCTCTCGGTGTCTCTCACTATGTCTCTTGTTCTCTTTGTTTCTCTCTCTGTGTGTCTATCTCTGTCCCACCTCATGTCTCTCCCATCTCTCTCTGTAGCTCTTCTTCTCTGTGTCTCTCTGTTTGCCTATGTCTGTTTGTCTATCTCTGTTTCTGTCTCTCAGCCAGTCCCCTGGGTAGAACGGCAGTTATCGAATCAAAGCCCTACAGACACCTAACAGCTCACTCAGACACAGAGCACAAGGCCCCTGGCCCTCATCCGCTCCACACCTCTCCCCTTCCCAGAGTACAGAGGGGCAAACTGAGGCTGGGAGATGGGCGGGAGGGCCTCTCTGAAGGCCTCACAGAGATGCAGTGGTAGAGTTGAGACCCAAGCTCAGATCTCAGGACTCTCAGTGGGGCCCTGGCTCTGTGTCTCTCCCCCACAATGGGCCTCAGTTTACCCCTCAGCACCCATGACAGGGGCAAGGGGACCCTGGGCTGTCTCCCAGCTGCTGCCGTTCCCCCTTCTACCCTCTCACAAGTTGGACCCTCATGGTCACAGTGTGGGGCTAGCCTCACAAGAGCTAGGCTGGGTGGGGTCCCAGGGCCCCATGGGTCAGGAGGCCTCATGGCCAGAGGGTGGTGATACTAGAGGGACATAAGTCAGTCGGTATATCTGTGGGTCTGGCTGTGGACAGAGCTCAGCCGTGTCCCCAGAGTTGGCACAGGTCCCTGGGATCCTCTATCCCACGGCTCCTCCAGAGAGCCTGGTGGTAGACTCTACCGGCAAAGGCCAGGGCTCTGACTGCTCCCACCATGAGGTCCTAGCTGAAGGTCTGCCAGCCTCAATGTCCCCTTCCTTCCCTCCCCATCTCTGGCAGAACGGCTGTGAGTCTGGGAGCACTGTCCCAGAATGGACAGGGAGATGGAGGCCCTGCAGGGGTCCATCTACTGATCACCAACGTTTTGTTAAGCATTCCACGTGCGTTAACTTTGGAAGATGGGTACAATTATTGTCCCGTTTTACATATGAGCCCAAGGAGAGCTACAGCTAGTTAGTGTCAGAGCCTGGCCCCAGGCTGGGGGAAGCAGAGGGGACGATTCTGACCCTCCTACCTTCACAGAACTTAGGACGGAGGCTGAGGGGAGGCTTGCTGCAATTCCAGGCCTGGCAGGCGGGAGGCACTATGAACTTTGGGAAGTTCCAGTGATTTTGGACACCAGGGACATAGGCCTTCACCTACTGAGAAGTTGGACCCATGGACCCCACAGAGTCTGTGGGTTTGAGATTCTGGGATCATTTGAATCTAAGAAATGATGTTCTACGATTCTGAGGTTCTAGCATAGTACCATTTGAAGACCCTGAGGGTCCCAGTCTCTGTGGGGTCTGCATGGCGCTCCCCAAGCATCAAACCTTGGGCCTCTCCATGGCCCAAAAAGGACCGGGTCTACAGGGCCCAGGGCTTGTCATGGTGGCCAGACGGACGTCACTCACCACATCCGCCAGCACCCACATCACCCCACCTGGGCCTGGCCGGCTGCAGGACGGGACGGCCAATTCTCGGAACGAAACCCGTGGGGTAGGGTACCTGCCCCCTTCTCTTCCTCCTTGGTGCCGATGAAGCCCAGCGCATCCGGCCGCCATGACGTCAATGGCGGAAATATCTGGGGAAGTCGGGGGCTGTGACAACAGGGCCCAGATGCAGACCCCGATACGAAAACACAAACTATGTCCCAGAAACATCCTCCATGTGGCTTCTAAGAAATAGTCAGAAAAGGATGCCCCAACAGACAGTACAGGAAGCCGGCTGCCCAACCTGGCCCTCCAGGTACCCCACCACGAGACAGACCATATCCACGGCCCCTTTCTGAGAATGTATCTATGCTGCCCTGAGTCAGGTTGTTCCAGATGTGTCTGAGGAGGCGATTTCTTATAGGCTCTGGCCAAGGGTCCAGGCAGCTTGAGAAGTGACCACAGGCTAGCCGTGTAGGCCAGGCCAGAGCGGTGGAAAACATCCACTCACTCACCAAAATCAGTGTTGGTTCGCTCAGGTCTTCTGTGACAAAGTACCACAAACTAGGTGGCTTAAATAACAGAAATGTTTTGTCTCACAGTTCTGGAGGCCAGAAGTCCAAGATCAAGGTGTCAGCAGTGTTGGTTCCTTGTAGGGCTACGAGGGAGAAATCTGTTCTCTCTCCTAGCTTCGGATGGTTTGCTGGCGCTCTGACATTCCTTGGCTTATACAAGCAACACCCTGATCTCCACCTTCATGCACTCATTCAGGCCCTTGTTCTGAGCCTCCGTAGACCCAGGCTCCTGATTCTCACGCAGTAATGTTCTAAGGCCCCGAGGGAGTAAGGGTTTAAATACCTGGATTCACACCCCCACCTCCGTCAGCACCATAACTCTGGCAACCCCCATGAGCTGAAAGCAAAGAAAGAAAGGAGCAACTGCCCCCCTCAGAGCCCTTCTTCTGCTCCCCAGGGCTGCTCTCGGCAGCTGTGTGCCCAACCCAGTGCTATGGGGCGGGGTGGGGAGACACACACATACACACACACACTTTCCGGAGAAAGAAGTAGAGATCTCAAGTCACCATGGGGCTGTGGGACACTGTACCTGGTTGTCCCCTTCAGTAAAATGGAAGTTGGGCTTGGCAGTCCCTTCCAGCTCTGGCTTCCTCTCAGATTGGTACTCTAGCATTCCGAGAAACCAAGGCCCTGCCCATCGGGGAGTGTAAGGTTCTGGAGCCATTCTGGAGGATTTTCTGGATAGGGCTTGGATAGGGGAAGAGAGGAAGAGCGGGCATTCCAGGCAGGTCGAATAGCATGAACAAAGGCTTGGAGGCAGGCCTGAAGAGCAGAGATTGGGATGAACTCCGGTGGGAGCCGAGTCGAGGAGCTCGCACAGGCCCCGGCTCAAGAGAGTCTATCTCTCCTCCTCTCTGGCACCTGCCCTGCCAGCTCCATGCAGGGCGGGAGCCCAGAGATGATCTCAGATGGAGAGCTCCAGGCTCCTGTACTCAGCTTCCACACGGCCTTGCCACTTGCATGTCTAACACCAGAGTCATCATGTCCCTCCACACCTGGATCACCACCCCCAACCCTGCTCCCCCATCTCCCCCATCTCAGGTCATGTCAGCTCCGTCCTTCCAGCTGCTCAGCTAATACCCAGAAGTCACCTTGACCCTCCCTCTCTCACCCTCCGCATCCAAGCTGCCAGCAAATTCTCCTGACTCCACCTTCGAAACATTAACTCCGAACCCACCCACTTCTCACCATCTCCACTGCCATCATCCTGGTCTGGACTGTTGCTTGCCTGGACTATTATAGTAGCCTCCTCACTAGTCCCCCTACTTCTGCCCTCACCTTCCTAGAGTCTGCCCCCCTCACAGCAGCCAGAGGGATCTTTGGAGTCCATGCCCACCTTGCACTCCCAGATATGCCCGTCACTGGGGTAACATAATGCTCCCAGGAGAAAATCAGAAAGCAGCCCCCGTGGGATCAGCAAAGGTCGTGTGGCCTACACTGGGTTCAGGGAGGACAGGAGGGCTGAGACCTATCCTGGCTGAGGCCCCACAAACCACCCCAAATTCCCCACCGCCCTCAGGGAGGACACCTCCCCACCAGGCCTGTGCCAGCGTGTACAGGCACGCTGTGCGCTGGGTCCGTGTATGTCTGCACATGGCGTGTGCTTGGAGACACAGGCACGCCCGTGCTCCTGACACCGAGTATGTGTGTGCACATGCGCACACACGTGACCAGAGCTGGGGCCCCTTTGGGACACACCCCAGCCAATGCCTGCTCTGACCAGAGGGGGTGTCCACATGGTTCAGATGGTTGAGCATTTCACACACACCCCAGCACGTTTGTAACTCCTTCCCCTTGTGTCCCCGCAGCCTGCCCTCGGACAAGGACCCAATGCCCAACCCCAGGCCAGCCAAGCCCTTGGCCCCTTCCTTGGTACTCAGCCCATCCCCAGGAGCCTTGCCCAGCTGGAGGGCTGCACCCAAGGCCTCAGACCAGCTGGGAGCCAAGGGCCCGGGGACAACCTTCCAGGGCCGGGACCTCCGAGGTGGGGCTCACGCCTCCTCTTCCTCCTTGAACCCCATGCCACCATCGCAGCTGCAGGTGAGGCCTAGGGCCCAGGATGGGGCAGGCAGGGTGGGGTACCTGGGCCTATAGGTGCCGACCTTTACTGTGGCACTGGGCGGGGGGCCCAGCTGGGGCACAGGAAGTGGTTTTCTGGGTCCCAGGCACGTCTGTGACTTATGCAGATGTCACGGGGCCAAGAAAGTCCCCACTTAGCAGGTCTCAGAGATTCGAGGCTCTCCGCAACCTCCCAATCCCTGTCTCAGGACAGGAGACCCTATCATGGTCCCACAGGCATAGCCATGTGTGTCTCCATCCCCCTGTGACAGAGGGCTTGGGGCCCAGGGAGGTGAGGTGACAGGATGGAGGCCAGCTCTGCCACTTATTAGCTGTTTGATCTTGAAAAAGTCACCCAATCTCCGTGAGCCTCAGTTTCCACATATGTAAAATGGGGTTGGTCATTCTGCCTAGTACGTGGGGTCGTTGGTGAGGAGTATACGGGTTAGACGTGTAGAACAGTGAACATGAGGATGGCATCTCACCCGCCTGCCTTCCCCCAGCTGCCCACAGTGCCCCTCGTCATGGTGGCACCCTCTGGAGCACGGCTGGGTCCCTCGCCCCACTTGCAGGCACTCCTCCAGGACAGGCCACACTTTGTGCACCAGGTACCAACCCAGAACAGGCAGGGAGGAGGGAGCAGGCGGGAGAACTGGGGAGAGGACCTGGCTGAAGTGGACCCCGTGTGCCCCTAGCTCTCAACGGTGGATGCCCATGCCCGGACCCCTGTGCTGCAGGTGCGCCCACTGGACAGCCCAGCTATGATCAGCCTCCCGCCACCCACTGCTGCTACGGGGGTCTTCTCCCTCAAGGCCCGGCCCGGCCTGCCACCTGGTAACACTGTACCCCACAGCTCCACAGAAGCCCAGAGCCCCCAATCCTTGAACATAAGTGGTGTGGGCTGCTGACTTGCGGCCCTCAGGAGGCCAGAGGTGTCAGGTCTTATCATCTTGGAAACTCCAACCTCTAAAAATGTCAGGCTCAGAACCTTAAAGACACAGAATGTCAAAATCACGGAACCACAGATCTTTGCAAAGTTAGTCGAAATGTCAGCGCAGTCTTTGAGCTGCTCCACCAGTAGCCTTGGAGATTAGGGACCACAGAGCCCCCTGGGAGTCTGGGCCTGCAAAGCTCAGGAGGGTGGGAAGCTCAAAATGAGAGGCTTTGTGGGCCGAGCTCCAGAGCCTGGCCCCCAGCCCCCAGAAGTGCCCTGTCCCCACCTGCAGGGATCAACGTGGCCAGCCTGGAATGGGTGTCCAGGGAGCCAGCACTGCTCTGCACCTTCCCAAGCCCCGGTGTGCCCAGGAAGGACAGGTCAGTGTGCAGGGCTGGGAAGGACCCTTGCCCTGCCATCCCCTCCTCTGACACACTTTGTCCCCCCAGCACCCTTTCAACCATGCCCCAGGGCTCCTACTCACTGCTAGCAAATGGTGTCTGCAAGTGGCCCGGATGTGAGAAGGTCTTCGAGGAGCCAGAGGACTTCCTCAAGTGAGTGGGTCAGGCCTGTTCCGGTCCAGGGGGGCCCCAGTTTGTGGGAGGAGGTCTGGGGTGCAGGTCTCAGCTCAGGCCTCATCCCGATAAGGGGTAACATGAAAGAGGCAAAAGCTGAGACTGCAGGTTCAGATCCTGGCTCCATCACTCACTGGCTCTGTGACCTTGGGCAAGTTACTTAGTTTCTTGGAGCCTCGGTTTCCTCATCTGTATAATGGGGGCATCATAACAGAGGTGTGTGCTATGATTTACCTCCATTTTACAGACAAAGAAACTGAGGCCAAAGAGGTTAAGTGTCTTGATCAAGATCACCCAGTTCCTGAGTAACAGCCAGCCTCCGGAATCCACACTCCTAACTGCTTTGCCCTGCTACCCCCCCTCATGCCAACACACCAGCCTTTTATTGACCCCCAAAGTCCCAGATCCTCACAATGGCTATTGCTGCCTCCTCTCAGCCCCATCTCTCTCTCTCTCTCTCTCTCTCTTTCTCTCTCTC